TTCAGATTCAGTGCCCTAACTAAGTAGATCATCTATCAATACTTCGAGATGTTTGTCTTCACTATAAATCAACTTTCTTATATATTCAACATCGATATCGTGATCCAGCGATAATCATCTTTTTCTTTTCCTGCTATCCTAACTAAATGTCATCATTAGTAAGTCAGTACTCTATTAGGCTAGTATCCTTATGATTTACTATAAAAATATTGTTAACAAAAGCAACATAAGCATCTATAATAGAGAATAGGTGTTTTTGTAACGATAACCGAATACACTGTTCACTTTTGAATAACATTTTAATATACATGATAATGATAATAATAATAATAATAATAATAACAATAGAAGGAATAATAATGGTAATAATAATAAAAGTAAAAATAATAGTAATATACATATAAACTTAAACGAAATTAATGCAAAATGCGACCATATTAATAACTATGTTCAAATTGCGTTAAAATATATTCATAACACAAAAGTTTGTTACGCTAACCATAATTACTCTCAACAAGTATTTAGGAGACATGTCACGCTTAGTGATGTCCATCCACTATTGGTAACGACTATTACATGGCATCCGTTGCCTAGCAGCTACACCCACCAATTAATTCCAATGCTTAATCGACCAGTTTCCTCCTCAGAAGCTATTTTTGCTTCTTAACGTTATCACCCGCTAGATCCAATATTTGGCCTAAGCCAAAAAGCTGCACCTTTTCCAGAAATAGGATAATTTGATTTCCTTCTACTCTCGGACACTACCAGTCCTGCCTAAGATTATTAATCAAATTTAAAATTTTATTACAACTGTGCCCTGAGGCTTATCCTCTTTCTCCGGGAAGCAGCCAACCGTAAGCTAGTAGCTGGTAGTAATAAAAGCAGGTTATAACGTTCTGCAGTTGTCTAATGTGTTTAAACTTTTGTTATAATATATGTAATCATAAAAGACAATTTCTGCTGATTATTAAATGGAACTCTTTATTTTATGAAATAAACTACCAACACATTACTCAACCTACATTACCAGGGATCAATGGAAATCTGTCAACATGGAATCGTCCTTTATGTGTAAAAAAAATTGGAAAACTACTTTTAGTAATTGAATTTCATTATATTATGATTCACACATACAATTTGGCTAACCAAGCACTATGCACTAAATTGAAATATCTACGCGTGAAAGTTGCGTCACAGACATTTGACGTAACAATTGTGAGTAAACAAATTCTCATAATAAAATCTGTCTGACGTTAACTAGTACTTAATAATTCTATACAAAATTTGATTGATAAAAAATTTTGAATAATGATTGAGGTACTAAGATAAATACTTTTGAATTAACACTTTGCAGTTAAACTAAGGTAAAGAATCAAATATACCACAAGTAGCAACGAGTAGTCAATAAATTCTGAGTACTACTTTGCTAGCTAACTGCATGGACACATCATCCAGCTCTTTAATTTATGTTCAACTTGATGTTAGGCTCGTATAATACTATAAGGTTAGTCATTCTCTGGTCATTCTCTGAATTTTAAGGAACTTTTGTAGTAAAGCTAATTCAATAGAGATGTGATAAGCTGTTTTAATATATTGTTCAAATAATTCTTAAAAAATTCAAAAGATTTTTCATTGGTTTAAAGATACTGCAAGTAAAACAAAGTATATTGACACAACCTAGTTATGGCTCATATATTAAACGGGCAGTTCGTAGATAGCATGCTAAGTCATGATGTATGTAAAAAAAGATAGGAAAATGAAGATAATGTACTTTAAAATGTAAATAAAAAAAAAAGAATTAAAAAAAAAGAAAGAATTTTTTAATTTTCGTAACTAGTTGAACTAACATTTACGTTCACATCTAGGATAAGAATATAATAAGTCGCATAAGTCTCGTAATATTCTTAATATTTCAATATTCTTAAAAGCTGTTGAGAATAACAGGTCAACTCTAACACTTCTTAACTAACAAAAATCATATGTAGTTAACAAAACTTATAAAAAAAATTAATTTAACATCAATATATTATACTAAAAGTTTTGAGAAACATCTAAGTTTTGATCAGAAAAGTTTTTATACAGAAACGTCCAGTCAAATCTGTCCAAAAATCTGGGTTAAGCATATTAGGCACTAAATCAAAGATCATACGAAAATAAAAGAAAATATATGATTCATAAGTTTATTGCATTCCCGCTTTAATACTTATAGCCTGTAATTGTGAAATATCAAGGTTTGCATCAAGTATTTGATTGCATGACGTGGTGCAATAATTTATTATTTGTTCTGTTAGGCTATTGTCATGCATTGATCCTAAGTTAATGATAAAAACGTTAAAAGTATTACTATACCACTCCCTGCTTAAGATTAACTAATAATCGTTTTACACGAGCAGCATCAATTACTTACGCAAAACTCCTAGGGTAGTGTGGATAAAGTTTGAATTTAAAGTTAATTTATTGAAGATTCTCTTTTACAATTTTTTGTTTTGTTAAAAGAGTACTTTGTCAGGATACAGTGCAATTAAGAATAAACAATTAACATGATCACAAGACTTAGCTCACTGTAAATTTAGTATTTAGTTATCAAGTAAAATAGTATTATTAGAACTGATGTTTTAAAAACTTAGCTGAACAGGAACAGAATTATTGTTAAAGTCATGATTGAGTTTTCCGCACGTCAGGGTTGGCTGTTGTCTTTTAGGGTTTAAGACTGGCGAATAGTACTATTTGTGATTTTTGAGTTGCTCTCATGCTGCAGGAGCTGATGTTAGCCTCTCTCCCTTCCCTGAGTGGGGCCGACAACTGCTGGGTTTTCGTTCGTGACTCGATGGAAAAGTCCTTTTTCGCCCGCCGTCCTGCGAGCCGTAAACGTCTCTCTAGGCCTTTTTTTCAAACGATCGTACTTTTAAATCAAGCTAGAGCACTACAGTTTATCATATTGTTTTCTGCGCTCAAATCGACTTATTTTGGCTTGTATTAGTTGGACGAACGCCCTTCCTGGCTCCCAAAGGCTCTTATCAATTATTTTTACTCTGACTTTCCAAAGTTAATTTTATACTATTTTGTCCGGATGTCTTATCGACGAACTGCTACTTGATTGCAATCTGCAGACATTGTTTTAAGCCTTCCACAAAAATATATCTGTAAATATTTTCTTCATATTAAAATTAAATCTGTTTCATTAAATTTTCAAAGTTGCTTATACTGCTTTATTATTTCGAATCCTACAATTAAAATTAGTCGTAGTTGACTTAACAGTTATAGTTTTCAAAATTCAAATACTAAAAAACTTAGAGAAACGTTACTTAAAAATAGTGGCTTTAGGTAATTTTTACAAATTATGTGTCTAAATTTATAGATGTTATTTATCCACCAACCATCTTAAAAAAGTTTATGGGAGCTACACCAATAGTATCTAGTTTTTTATTTAATGATATTTGCTTTCCGATTAATTTACGTATCAAAATTCCTGAGCCATGTATAACTTTAAATTTAGATAAGCTTTTTTGATTGCATTCATCCTATTATATTCTGCAAGTGAGATATCACTTACTTGTTTAGATCTGCAGAATTATTGTCTTCTCATAACGCAGTGTATCAGAAATTATTAAAAATCAACTCAATGAATGCTTATCTTGATAGTGCAAGTCCTCGTCTTTTTCACGAGGACTTTTGGTGGGGCCAACGTAGATTGCTTAGGCGTACCATTCCTCATGGTGTGATAGTTGGCTCTGAAATCCCTGGATTAATTTTAAGATTTATTTCTATTGATTTAACTAAGGACAAGGACGTGATAAAATCAAAGCGTATATTTCACGAGGCGTTATTAAAGAAATAGAAACTTGATTTATCATACTTGGAAAGTTTACAAACAAAAGAATAAAGATAGACTCATCAGCTATCGAGCGCACTCACAAATGAAGCTTATCCTATTTGGCGTAGTCAATCGAATACACTTCTCCTCACTAAAATACTCGAGAGACGAAATTCGGAGAATTATACAGGTCGCGCTATGTATCGTGGAGCGAATGCTTCGAGAGCGAGAGCGCGCGCGCCTATTACCTTACAATTCAAGAATCGGATCTTTGACTAATACGGGTTATTTATTTTTAACACTTCAATTCTTTTTAACACTCATTTACTTGAAAATGAAAGTAAAGATTTATGTTTCAGTTTTAAACACTATGTACATTAATTGCGAGTTGACTTTATATCACTTAAAATAATCCGACTTAAAATTACGCTATCAGATTTACGGAAAAAAGTACGCAGAGGCTCGACGCAAAATAGAAATCAAAGATTTACCCGTCCGAAAATACAATGGTCCCAGATTCAGGAAGGAGAATCAAAACACAGATTTAACGAGTACGTATATAAAAAAGGAGAACACCGTCTACACCACTTAGCTGGCACTGGGGCCACCACTTAGTTGATATATTAGACAACTGGGGTTTTACCACCCACTCGCTTCAATCAATTCGGGAACGAGTTAAATAGCTTCGTGGCTCAGACGGGATGTCTACTCACACTCTTGAAACAACGAGGTCCGATGTCGCAAAGAGTCCCAAGGCTCCTCAGGTCACTGGGAGGAACCTCCTGTTCCCTTGCGGAACTCCAAAAAGACTGCTTTCCCCTTTGACTTGATCCGACTCATCACCTCGGTACCCCCGAAAATCGGACCTCGCGACTCTTCCCCCGGAAAATATATTGCGCAAAAGTATTATAAACAGACACTGCTTCGAGCTGCCTGAACTGTTTTCTCCCAAAAATCACCTTTTCGAAAATCAACAAAAGTGAGAGCGCTACAATACGTATGTGTATAAAGATTCTGACGTATACTTATAAGTAAAACCTTGCAATAGGTTCTCAAATCTTATCTTATACAAGTCGTTAACTTTCACGTAAATATGACTGCATGTAATGAAAAATACGTGAAATAATACTATTTTTTAATACACAAAAAGCTTAAACGAATATTTTAACAGAACATGATTTTCTAGACAGACGCAAAAATGGTATTTGATGTGATACAAAGAATGGAAGATACTGAACCTTTCAGTGAGGAACTACTAATTGCAATGAAAAGACTATGGGTAGATGCAGGTGTGCAAGACTGTTTTGGAAGAAGCAACGAGTATCAATTGAACGATTCAGCAAAATAGTAAGTTTAAATTTCAATATCACACTTTTACCATATTGCTATGAAAATAAATTAAACCTAAATTTCTTATACGTAAGGGTATTACTGTTTTGATCGAAAAACTATTATCCTAATATAATGATTCCTTCAGAAAGCATCATTATAAAACTATAACTATCGACTTTCAGAACCCAAGTTGTAAAGAGTATTAATACTTATGTAGTTAGCATGCTTATAGTGACTCAAACTTCTTGCCAATATCAAGGCTTTCCATGTTAAATACTTCTATGGAAAATGTTAAAACTATTGACGTGGACTGTTTGAGATGTAATGGGTATTTTACATATTGAAAAAATTATTTCATGAATGGAAAGATTAGTAAGTTTGCAACATGTACATGCAAGTGGAGAACTAGAGCTTTTCTAGATAAGCAAAACTTACACCTGGCTAGATTGTCAGAACAGTACGGTGGAACTAATTTTTCGAACCAAAAAATTCTGACAAGCTCGAAAAAAAAAATTAGGTAGTAGGTGCATGGTAACTAATTGATACAACATTTAAAAACTAAAAATATTAACAGAAGTCCTACCAAAAATAGTAAAAGTAGCCAAATATTATAATACGATACTAGTGTGTGGAGAAAGCGCTCGTGTGCAAAACTGACATGCGTGAGTCAGTCACATAACCTCTTGCACGTGTGGTGTATACAACTTGTCTACTTAATACGTGGAGAATGAGATAAAGAATTATCTAATGTGACTCTGCAAAGATCTCAACGTACATACGCACTCGCACAAGTGCACAGCACGAGCTGTAAGTCGTGTGTGTAAATCGAGATCTGTAAAGTCACAATGGATGGTTGATAATCGAGTCTCTACGCACGGCACGTTAAAAACATTTTTTTCGCGTCCAGAAGAAAACCAAAAAATCGCACATAAAAAAGTGTTTCATAAAAAAATGCCCAATTTTATTACGAAAAAAATGCGCCATAATAGGTTTTAATCAGTTCAGCCATTTTTTCGTAAATTGCAAGAAAATGGCCATTTCAGGCCATTTCTCCAAAATTTAATAACTCGCGTTCCATACAATAGCAAGAGCTGAAATTTTAACACCAATGAGATATTATAGCCCTAAGTATACACACAAAATTTTAGCATTAGTTTACACAAAAAAGGTCTTCGCTAAGAATCTCCACAAAACAGTTGTTATACAACATGGGTACATTTTTCAATCGTACTTCTCTTTGTCTATATTTATTATACAATTACCTGAAACGCCGTTTGTTTTTACTAATTAGGAGTATCTTTAATATCCATAGCAAAAAATCACTTTTTCATTTCAAACGCGCTTGCTCAAATCTTTTGGAGCATGCAGGAAAGGGAAGTAGCTTTCAGCGACCGGAGAGAAAAAAGGCAGTTTTTGCAAATGAATGTGTAAAATTCCTTTTATTTATAAAAATAAACGGCATTTTAGGTACGTGTAGAATAAATGTAGATGAAGAAGAATACAATTGAGAAATGAACCTATGTTCGGAGGTTTCTGCTGTGGCTCGCGGAAAGTTCAAAACTGATCAAGCGGTAATTTGGTGTTAATATTAAGGGGTGTATTATTAATCTTTTGTTTACATTTTAGCTTTTTATATGGGATAGAACATGAATAACCTAATTCCGAAGAAACGGCTCAAAATGGTAGTTTTTATGCGATTTGTAAAAAAATGGCTAAACTAAATGGAACTTACTGTAACGTATTTTGTTTTTATGAAAATTGTGCATCAATTTTATAAAATACTTTTTAGGTGCAATTCTTCTGTTTTTTTTTTCTAGTAACGAAAAATATGTTTTGGCTACTTTTAATAGATATAATTTTAATAAACTACAGATTTTAGTTAGTAGTTGTACCATAGGTATGTGAATTTTAAAGATTTATTCACACAGTTTTAAATAAAAAATTTTAAGTATAAAATAACTAGTGGTTTAAAAAAAAGCTTTTTTTCAAAACTTGTTTTCTACAGTGTTGAGTCATATTTTTACAGTAATACTTAGGAATTTTATCAAATACTGTGATAGTTTTTGTGATTAGAGCATTTTAATTAAATTTTATCTCACTTATAAGCGGAAGTAAATTGTGCACGAGCTTTAAAGATAATAATAACTGTTCTTTTTTTGTAATAATTTCTGACACATTATTTTGCAACGTAGACAATTGAAATTTTCAGAAAAGATAGTTTAACACATACAGTTTTATAAAAAAAATATTGCACAAAAATACACTGACATGCATTATTACATCAACAATGTTAATATAAATGGTTTACATGACGGGTTAAGCAGGGATCAATAAACAATTTATCACCTGCATATTTTTCTGTGTAATCTCAGGAAGCCGAAATAATGATAATTTTTTGAGTGCGCACGATTAGAAACACTCAAGTTCTGTTTGTCTGGCCTCTGTTGATTCTTAACTAATGATCCTTTCTCCACTCTTCAAAAGTGATTGAGCACTTCATAATATGGAGATTATCAATTTCAATAAAACGGGCAATAGTTTTTTGTAGGGTATTAGTTTGTATTTATTCTATGAAGTACCGAACGTATTTAACCATATGTTTATGTTCCGCTTACGTAACATCCTAAATATAAAATAGTCATACCTAAAAGTGAAGTAATACGTACAACATAAAAAAAATACGTAAAATTGTATCTGCATACACAATTTTAAATGTCAAAATAAACAAGAATTGATTATTCATAATTTGCTGCACTCTCGATAATAAACTCGGTGCTTGTCAAAATGATTCTTATAAGAAATGTGCAAGAAATTTAAGTAAATCTTTTAGTAACAGAGAATGAGCTGAAAAGAATATGGATATCCAGAGTATAAACGAGTAAATTATGTTTTTTTAAATCACTCTTACATAACGAAAAATTGAAATTATATTTTGGTATACGGTTTGAAGATTAAGCTGCATGATAAATATTTCGATATCAAGTTTGAATGCAACGTTATTTTTAAGTCTAGTATATGTCAATAAAGTATTCATTAAATGAATAACAACTTGCTAAAATTAGCTGATAGCGCATCTGTTAAACTCAGAAATGTTTGTGATCGAACGAGATGTTTTCGATCAAAATATTTAAAACACAATCCAGAGTGGTATTCATGGTGGACTTTGATTCTTAAAGGTTCTTCTATTTCTATCTCTGATAATCCTGGAGCTTGATGAAAAACAGTATTCCGCCATCTAACCTCAAAATAGCACCTTCGCTGTTTGATTTTGGGTTCTCAGGCGGAAAAATAGTACACGAAACTCATTAGAAAAGGCTTTTTTACGAACTTCGTTACCACCCTCACCTTTAGCTCGTGCCATAAAACCTCTTAGTTCGTAAATCGAAGCCTTTGCAAACTCGTACATAATATACTATTTTTGCATACCCTAACGGGAAGTTCGCATTCCTGTCCTGATTTCAGGCTGGGAAGTTGTGCATTTCTGACCAGGACGGAAATTTTTTGGTTGCGCACCAACGTACTGCACAGCTCTCTTCTAGTTACTTTCTCATGTCATACGTTAGCTACTCATGTGTATAAGCCTACAGTCGACAATGTACTTTACCCAGTTAACAAAAACCAAAACACTTGAATCATTACCTCAATACTAAGGCCGTGCGAATATGTAGATTGCAGAGTGTAAAATTAATGATTTTAGCCATTGAGTAGTTTTATTCTCAACAATTGAAAATAATGAAGTACTTAGTCTCTGGATGACTAAGTACAGAAAGCAATTCTGTGACTATATGAATGAAGCTCAAAAGCTTATGTACTTGGTGGCATACCTGTAGGTCACTTTTGTTTCCAAGTACATTCATATACTAATATAATTTCCATAGTGCCGGTATAAAAGATTTTAACATAAATTTTGTGTGTAATTAAGTTTTATATATAATTTAACGACTTCTACGAGCGTGGCTGCTGCATACAGGACTGGAGTCGCTATATATTGTTTTCTATCTCGCTTGCTCTTTATTTCCCTAGAGCCCCTAGATCAATAAACGCATGGACGTTCATAATGAACGATGGAACAACTGCGTGTTGATTTTATACTAAATTAAGCAACAAATAACTTTTTTTGGATCGCGAACATCCCGCCGGGTATGAAGAAAAATCGTATACGTCACGAGGCAGGAAAATAGCACATCACCGTCCGCGTGTTAGACACCCTCAGCTTCACCTCAGGTGGCAATATGCACGTGGACGAGAATGTACTACTTCCCTACCTCGTGACGTAATATACTATTTATACACAACATTTATTAATTACTTGTTTCCTTCTTGTTACTTCAACAATGGCTTGAAGTGTTATAATGCTAATATTACAAAAAAAGTAGCCAATACTACTACTCTTCATTTACCTATGGATTTAAATGTACAAAGTATTTTTTTTTTCAATAGCAATAAAAATAACGTATCATTATTTAACTACTTGAAATGAGACTTCCATAATTAGATAAAAATTGTAGTTGTTGATAAAATTTTATGTGACTCATAGAATACGATTGTTTTAAAACGGTTTAAAACTAAGTAGAAGACGTGCAAAAGTATTAAACCGTTTTTATTCTCATAAATAACTGTTTGATTTGTTTTTTCACACATCAAGAATGCTAGGAGAAATTATTTTTATAAAACTAAAAAACAATACATCATTACTATGTACAAAAAATAATTGTGAAAAGTCTTTGTTGTTTATTGCATATTTTTTATTTTTTTCATTGATCTTTTATGTCAGCAGTAAAATGGCACACATCGTAGGACTTGATTTCCAAAATTCTAAAGATTCAGAAAAATTTCTTCTTATGTTGCTAATTTATTTTTAAACTATTTTCATGTTTACATCTTGAATGAAACAAATGACGTGTTTTTCTTTAATTTAATTATTTGATTATCTTTTAAACAATGAATACATGAAAAGCTTACGCCGGCTCACAACGAAGATTATTTAAAATTCACGAAAGACATATATATGATGC